ATGTAGTTATAAATTTGTTTATTTTCTGAAATGGGAAGTAAACAGGATTTTTTCCACGTCCTGTAAACTGAGCTCAAAGTTTTCAGCTATTCCATTTGAAAATGGAAGATAAATTCCAATATCATTAAAATTTACATTTTACTGTAGAAACTTCTCTTCAAATATATTGTTATGAAATATATTTTTTCCTGTTTTTCGCACCAGAAATTTTCTTTTAAATACTTCAAGTCTTTTCTGTAAAATGTGGAAAGTATTAATGTACCTCAAAGCTAATCTTAAAAATTTTTGAGGGCACAGTGTGATACAGAAATTACACAATGAGATCAGACAGCTTGTTAATGATGAAGTGAAATACACTGTTCCAAATTACCTTAGTCTGAAGTCAGCGTGTATTTATAATAAATCTTGACTGTTTTGCAAGTCCAGTCTCTTCTGTCTTGGCCTTCCTGTATGGTTTAAAACACTGTATAAATTATCAATATTTATTATTTTAACCCCGCATGTGAAAATTGAGTAAGCACAATTCAGTAGAAAGTTTGAGTTGTTTGTTGATATTTTTTAAGCAACCTTTTTCTTCTGTGGAAATATCAAAGCTTTGTGTGCTGTGCAGTGATTCCTTTTAGCAGCTGCAGAACACCAAGACAAATAACTTTTGTCGTGTACTGTAAGATATACAAGTCATTGTTCTGCATTGTTAGTTCTTACTTTGAAGTTCTCATTTATTGTTTACATCCTTCTCCCCCTTCCTCTCTTCCTCCCTCCCTCCCCCATATATTCATAGGCCTGGAAAAAAAAAAAACAAACCAAAAAACAAAACCTGGCAAGCAACAAGTTCTGTTTTGTCAAATAGCCAAAACCCCCAATCTGATGGAAATTAAAGCTCTGAGATGTCACCCCTGGCCTGAGGGTGAGCCCTGGAATGAAGACAAGTGGGCAGGAGTTCAGTGGTTCATATTGCTAACTCACCTATTGATTTGCTTTTAAATCAGGTATTTCAATATTTCAATAAATTTCTGTGAATGGGGACAAGGTGAATGTTTGTCCTCTGTCACGAAAAAAGCAGAGATCACTTTTCCCCCCACACTGGAAATTCATGACAGTTGCAAATTAGACTCAGTTTAAGCCTGCCAGTTATTAACTATTCTTAGCACCTGGGTTGTGCTGTGGAATCAGTGATAGCCCAAAACCCCATTTTCAGGTAACAATGTGCTGCTTTTGGTGGTGTTTTGTTTTTTTAAATGAGGAAGAAAGTGTGACTAGGCACATAAAAGCAGCTACCACCCTTCATGGCTTTAAATAACAGGGACAGCACAGATGTTTGACATCAGTATTGTTTACATGGCCTTAGGGTTTAATTGCCTCATTCTCTTTGTGAGGAGGATAAACAATGACAGAAATCCAAAGGAATGATGTTCAGCCAACAGCAATGGCTGCGTTTCATACATAGTTGCAAACTTCCCAACTATAGCTAAATATCTACACTTTTTTTTTTTTCCTTGTCTGAATGGTAACATGCCATAAATTTCATATTCTCTGTTGCCTCTTAACTGGTGATAAAAGATATTAAAACCAACGAGCACGAGCGCCGTAGATTGCGTTTAACCAAGTGAACGACTTAGGAAAGTCGCTTTTGTCTGGTTTCTCTAAAACTTGTGAAGGCCTTTGGTACTGCTGTAGGTTATTTTGTTTCTTAATATATATTTAACAAATAAAGTCAAGCTGAAGGGCAGCCCATGCAGTTACCTAGAGCTGTTCCACAGGAAATTGGGACAAGCTGAAATTTGACATTTGGGATCTGCGGACAGGCTCCGCCTCGGTTTGGTGTGGCTTTAATTTGAAAGATATTCCTTGATTGAAATTAGTATTTAATGATGTGCTTCAGCTTTCAAATGGAAGGGAGGCGTTTCACTCCCAGCTGGGGAGAGCTGAGCCCTTTTGCTTCCACCCCAGCCTTCATGAGATCACTGCATAAAACGTGTTTACATGACTCAATTTTTTATTGACGTATGCGGTGAGATTGGGAGTCTGCCTCAGAGAGAGGGTAGGTCAAAAAGCAGATTTGGAAATGAAACCATTCCTCCAGGCTTTGCCATAGGATGCTGTGGTGTTGTCCTCATGTTTTCTGGCTTCTCCAGTGGTTTTCCGCTCAAGAAATTGAGTGTAGGATTTTTAAACCAATGTATCATTGTTTTTACAGCAAATGCTCAAATTAATGCTTCCAGGAGTTGTGATGAAGTTACATATGGGATTGGAACTATGGACCATTACAAAATACAAATGCTGTTGCAGATTTTATTTTTTTTTATTTTTTTACCAGTTACTCAGTACAAATACAGCTTTTCTCTCAACACTAGCTCAAAACTTCATATGCACATCAACTATTGAATTTCAGACACTTTAATATGAGACTTCTCTCATTTCTTTATACATATAGGTAAAATTAGGAAATTCGTGGAGGAAGCAGGTGGGGTAGAAAAGTGCCTGGGGTGCTGAAACTTCATTAAATTTATAGAAGTTGAGGACCTTGAGTACTTTTCAAGGTGTCCCCTTTTCAGCCCTCACCTGATGAAGAGTTGGTCTTTGTGATTTTTCACCTGTTTTTATTATTTTATTTCTAATATTCAGAGGAGTGTTCTACTTTGTTATTACAGCAGTTGCACTCATTAAGGGCTGATTTCTGTACCTTGGACACATTTTTGCCAGTTGTTTGGTTGCAATTAACTGTCCTTTTTGGAAAGCATTCCCAAAAGTGTGACATTTTAAGAGGTGGCTGTTCTGGTGGAAGTGGAATGAATTAATGAGCTAAAATTGATGGGAACTGGTGCAAGTGCAAGGGTGGTGCTAAGGGGAAGATTCATGAGAATTGGGAACAAGCTTCAAGTACAGGGAGTTCTGTTATCAGCCTGGGGGAAAACAATCACCAGCACTTGAAAATATAGATGTCCATCTTTAATCCAAGTGAAATTCTTGATTTTGATTTATTTTTCTATTATTTCAGTGTACAGAATAATAAAACCTAGACCAGCTCTCAGATGATACAAACCACCGAGGATTCATTTCCCTCAGCCAAGACATTCTGACATTATTAATGAGTTTTAAATGTAATTTGTGTGGATTTAGTAGCTGTGTGAGGGCAGTAGCTGTACCTCAGTCATTCATAAGCTTTTAATGGAATTCGAGTAGATTGGAGTCTCTTTCATGTTTAGTTTCTGGTATTTGTGTTTTTACAAGACCTTCATATTTATTTATGGCATGTTCACAAGCTGTCTATCTGGAAGTGGATTACTGTGCTCTTTTTATTAAATCAACACTTATTCATCACCTGGTACTAAGATTTTCTTCTCTAATGTCACTTTGTTGCAGTGATATATGCATATATTTCTTTTCATATATACATATGCATAGATTTCATGAATAGAAGATGCATTTTTATCATGGTGCTTATTTTGGGATGATAAAAGAGTTGGCTGACAGCTGAGAATATGATTTATTTTCTTTGGATTAATTGTCAACCTTTTTTTTTTCCTCCTCCATTAATTTGCATAAGACTGTGTGCAAACAGTTGGGAGATGGATTGCTTTATCTGTGGTGTAATAAATGGTTGTTGGGTATCAGTTGATGAGTTCAGAAAATGAAACAATTTTCTGCTCTTCCTTCTCTTTTCACCTCTTGAGGAGCTTTCTGTGTTTCCTGCACAGCGTTTTTGCCTTGAGTTGGGTTTTTGTACCTCACGTTTTCAAGTCATGATAACGTTGTGATGTTTTCAGCTTCCAACAAACCTGTAAGACAAATGAGTCATATGAAAAAAAGGATAATTTGTACTGTGTTTAGTGTTGGTCTGTGTGAGATAAAGAATCATGCTTGATTGGCAAATTTGATTAGTCAAGGGCATGGAGAATAAAGGCAGAATGAATAACGCTGTCAATTCCTTTGGGGTTTGTGAGTTGGGATATTACAGGTCAGGTTCTGAGCTGAGCTAAATAAAAATGTGAGAGCTGGAAGTGGCTGGGTGGTGATGGGAGTGCAGTGCCCAGCCTCAGGGTGGGGGCACCTCAGCACCTTTTAGAACACCCAAAAGTCAAACACAAAGTTTTCTGTTGGCCAAAGACCCCTTAGAGTCACCTCCTGGAGGGGTTTGGTCCTCCCTTTCTGAAGTGAGGGGGCCAGGGTCTGTCTTCAAAAAGCTTTTCAGTCCCCTTTGCTTTCTGAACAGTGACTGTTAATAGATGCAGGAGTGGAACAGTCTGAACTCAAGGTGTCACTTTTGGTTTCTAGAAAATCCTGAGAAACATGAAATTCCTCTCATAGCTGTCCTGAAGACAGCCTTTAACAGCGTACTGAAAACATGCAAGGGATTCAAAAATACCTGAAAGTTGGAAATTTAGACTCTTAAGTAAGAATTGGCAATGTATTTTTGTGTTGGAGGGGTTCAAGTACAGCTTTGAACAAACAAGGCAGAACAGGAAATGTATTTCAGTGATCCCATCCTTAATCCCATCATAAGTCACCTTTAAAAGGAAATGTGTTTATAATGTGAACTCCATGAATAATAGAAAACAAACAAAAACAAACCTGCATCTGGGCTAAAGGACATTGTTTGTGTAAATGTAACACCTGCCTGAAGAAATGAAAATGAGTTTACCAAACTTGGTATATTAACAGAAATATGAAAGTTTTATTCCTAATTGTTTATTTAAATTAAGGACAATAACTTGTTCTGGGCAGTAGCAATTGTGTTTATTGCCAACTAAAACATTCTACAAATCCATTTTTCTGAAGAAATGTTGTAGGATGACATATTTTGTAACAATTGTATCAAATTATGAAAATATCAAGAAACTGAATATAGATTTTTTCATAAGATTTCTTTGTTGTTGACTTCCCATTGCCTTCTGGAAGACATAAATAAATAACTAAAAAGTTATTTACTGATTAAAAAGGTCATTGGTATAATTTATTCTTTATTTAAATTATGCATCTATTCTGGTTTGCTTTTAAAGCTGGAAATGAAAATGAAAATAGCAGAAGGTAAATTTCACGAAGAAAAACTGAAATTACAACAGAAGCACGATGTTGATGTTCAAAAGGTAAGAAGTGTTTGTATTGTGTTCCAAAAGCAGTGTATTAAACAATAATAGAGACTATGATTATCATAAATATTTATCAGTTGTTCTTTAACTTCTTCACAATTGCAATTAATGTTCAGTGGAAGTCAAATTGTAGGTAACAGTTGGCATAAAGTGAGAGGAATGCAGAATATTTTATGGTAACATATACTTTGGAAGGGGAAAACACTTGCAGAAAGGAGATGAAAATACAAGGCAGTTTGTTTGTTAGAACAAGACAACCTATTTTACCAGCATAACAACTTCTGTAGGAAATCATAAACTCAGGATTTTTCTGTTCGAGAGAAAACATTTGTGTTAGAGAAGAATGTGAACAAAATTAATTTTTCATGGACAAAATGCAAAATATTACAGTAGGAAAAGCCAGGGATATCTCATATATGTTCAGGCTCATCCAGCAGCAGTGCTTGCTGTCCTGTCTCTGTTTTGACACTCTCAGAGCAGAGGCAGAGGCCAAACACCCCTTTATTTATGTTGCTGCATTTTTAGATTTTCTGCACTCTGAATTCTCTCAGCACTAACACGGCACCAGCTCTCTGGGTTACACTGGATTTGTCTTTACTGAATCACATAACACCACTCCTGGCAGGATTATACCCACCCAGACCATGCTGTTATTTTAATCCCAGGTTTAAAGGTGGGGTGAAGCCCTGTGAGGTGCCAGGTGCTCCTGGCAGGGCTCAGATCCCAGGGATGGAGCAGGAATCCCAATCCTGGCCGTGCTGATCCGCTGTAAGCTCGGCATCACTCAGAGCCTCTGCTTTGTTTCCTAAAGACTGAGTCACAGCCTTGGAGGAAGTTGGTTGACACAGCTCTGTGACACATCAAAGCCTCCCTGAGAGGATGTTAATATTTGGTCAGGTGCACATTTGGCTCATCTGTTCTCAAGGCCTTGGAGCAGAAGCAGTGAGCAAAGCTGGGAGTCTAAAGGAAACAGCTTTGTGAGAATAAGAAATAGTTTAAATGCTTTCTCATCCCTTGAGTTGTCATCCCTTCCTAACTGATGTTAAAATTCCGCCTTTTGAAGTCGTTTAATAACGTTGGATATTTTAGAAAAGGTTAAATAGTGTCGTATTAATCTTTAAAGACAAAAAACATTTATTGCAGATGGAGTAATATTGTTTTAAGATGAAAGCTTCTGTTTGATAAGAGATTTGGAGCACTGTTATAAAATTTCTCCGACTTTAATCTTTATCTTAAACACGAAGTTTAAATTAAAATACTATCTCAAAGTGTGCAAATATTCGAGCTTTTTTATTTCCAAACTCAGCCTGTACAGAAATGTGGGTGTAGTTACCCTCACAGACTTGCTCTGTTCCAGACCATTGTTCCTTGGGATCCATGTGAGTAATTTCAATTGGTGAAGCACAAAAGACTGCAATGAAGCTCACCAACTTATTAAAATATTTCTTCAATCTGCTGAGAATTTGAGATACTTTTAAATACTATTAGGCAACGTAAGTATGAAAATCTTTTCAATTTGCAGCAGTAGCACAACAGCAATGCTGGGTTTGCCCAGGTTTAAAAGAGAGCAAAAAAACCTCACCTTGAAACATGAAACTCCTTTTTTAATCTGCTTTTTCCTACATTTGTCTAAACCAGTCCTTTGTTTATGGTTTGGTTGCTGTAGCTGGAAAAATGATTTAGGGCCAGTCATTTATTCCTGCATGACCTGAGCACTTCTTGCAGACCATGGTGCATCTTGTGCACTGGTTGTAGTTTGGAATGTTTAGGACTGATGTTAAAATAGTCTGAATTTTCTCTGCAGATTTTGGATAGAAAGAATGATGAAATAGATGTGCTGAAGTCCACCTACACAGAGAAACAAAAAGAAGCTGAAGAGACAATAAGAAAACTGGAGAAAAAAGGTGATTTTTATCCTCATGGTTGTCTTCTGTGTGGTGCTATTGTACTGCATTCTCTTGTGGCTGTGGGCTTGCATGTTTCTTCTGCAGACATCCCTTCCTTCATCATTTTCAGCACTTGATTTAATTTTTTCCTTTAGATTCTGAGATTCTTGTCCAGTTGTCTCTGCTGTTCCAACCCAAGTGTTCCAAGAGGCCTGTGATCTATTACACTGAAAACAGGTTTTATGAGCGTCACCAAAAAAAGTTTCTTTGATGCCACTGAAATATTTTGGCCACTTCAATTTTTTTTTTTGAATCCCTGGCTCAAAGTTCATTTCTTTATACATTCAGTACATTTTAATCAAACCACAACGGGTTATTTTTAAGATTATTGCGGCAGGAGATTTCAAACATGAGTAGTCTTGAGTGTGTCACGAGTACAAAACTCACCCTGAGAGCGGCTTGTCAGCAGTTTCTCAATGTTAGTTTCCTTCAGAATTCCTTGGAATCCATTTGCACCATGGACTAAACCACACTGGAAAATAATACAGAAGTTTGGTAATCTAGCTACAAAAAGGGAGAGTGTTCCATGTATTTTGTTTCCTGCTCCTTGGGAAAGTAATTTTTCCAGCAAGGGATCTGGGGCTTCTCTCTGTGGGCTGGTGGTTTCCCTTGGCTGGGACAGGTTGAATTGGAGTTGGCCACACTGTTGCAGGTAATGAAAATCCTCAAAACAAAGTGAAAATGTGAATATGGACCTGCTTTTTCCACTAATGGTGATGCCATCACTTAAATTGGGGAACTTCATTTTCATGGGTATCTTGAGCATTCAACCTTCACAAGAACCTTTTCTCCTAAGGATGCCCATGAAATCCGGTTAAAATAACTGTTTTCTTGAGGTTATACAGAATTTTGCTGATGTATATTTACCCCTTCAGGAAGGAAAACTCTCTCTGAACTATTCTGTAAACAAAGTAGAAAAGAGAGCACACCATGTAATGACACAGAATCTAAGTGCTGCATCTTAAAGCAGCACATGCATTAAGAATTTAAGAGTCAAAAACCATCAGAAAGCCAGGTCAGTTGGAAAACTGACATAAACTGATTGTATCTGTTGCCAAGACTGAAAAATCCCAAAGGTCTTGAATGGTTGTTTATTTTTTTTCCCATTTTTAACAGTTCAGACCCTTGTTCGTGAGTCCCAAGTTGTGAGAGAAGCCAAAGAGCAGCAGATTGTGGAGCTGAAGAAGTTGTGTGAGCAAAGCAATGATTCCTTGAACAATGAGTGGGAGAAAAGGGTAATGAACAGTACTTCCCTCCTTTCACAGATTCCTGCAGTGTTTATCTGGGATAATACATTTTGTCACTCAAAAAAAATAAATATACACAATACATTTTAGGGATGTTTTTTGAGCTGATTTTATTTTTTTCCTGAAGTAATCAAGACTCTTTGCTGATGCTTTTACACCCAGCTGGTCACCCTGTTCCTGGGGTTCATCTGGCCTCCTGGCAAGTCTCTGGATGTATTAAGGAAGTGTTTATTTCTGGTTGACCTGACATGGAATTTTAATCTGGATAAACCTGCTGCTACCTGCTGTCACGGTGATTCCTTTGAACTCACAGTCTTGCAATGGGTCATGAATTCTTCAATGTATTTTTATTTATTGTTCAACTCAAGGCAGCAGCAAAGCAGAGGGAAGAGCAGGTTTATTGTGAGACAGTGTCACCTTTGTCCAGATTATTGTCAGTATTTATCTTGCTTCCCCTTCTCAGGAGAGAGGGGGTTCACAGAAAGGACAAACCCACCTCCCTTCATGAAGTTTGCTGAACAATTTAATTATTTTGCATCCCTGCATGTAGAAATGAAGTTGGGTTTAATTCTTGCCTTCTTAAAGGCAAATCATAAATTGTCCTTTGTGCTGAAGATCTTGAGATTCCAGTGTTAGGTGTCTTTTTTCATAGAATCCCAGACCAGTTTGGGTTGGAAGGGACCTTAAGCTCATCCAGTGCCACCCCTGCCATGGCAGAGACACCTTCCCCTGTCCCAGGCTGCTCCAAGCCCCATCCAACCTGGCCTTGGGCACTTCCAGGGATCCAGGGGCAGCCACAATCTTTTTTTTGTTTTAGAGAAAAAATATTTTCAGAGAGGACAGAAGTATGAATACCTGGGATTTCCAGTGATTCTGCTGATGTGCTATAATAATGTAACACTTCTCAATGCCAGTTGTAGATGCCATTTGTCACTCTGTGCCTTTTTTCCTGGTGCAGCTCCTGGATGCCGTGGCTGAGATGGAGAAGGAGAAGTTCAACATCCGGAAGAAGCACACGGAAGATATGCAGGAGCTGCTGGAGGAAACCAACGCCCGGCTGGCCAAGATGGAGCAGGAGTATTTGCAGCAGACACAGTCAACTGTAGGTTTGGCTGTAAACCTGTCACAGCAGCAGGTGTCTCTTAAAATACTGCAATTTTGTGTGTGTTCAGGTGGGTTGGGAGTGTCCAAGGCTGGGTTGGATGGGGCTTGGAGCAACCTGGGATGCTGGAAGGTGTCCCTGCCATGTCACAGCTGGAATCAGATGATTTTGGGCTGGAATCAGATGATTTTTAAGGTCCCTCTCAACCCAAACCACTCTGTGATTCTGTTATTTATGCACATACATCCTTATTTTTGATAGTGCAGTGCAGTTGTTCTAGGAGAAGACACTGTCCTGGAAGCCAGTGCAATCAAGGATTTTATTCCCCAGATAAAATTAAGCAAGGTACAGCCCTTCAATCAATGTTACACTGATATTTTAGAATCAGTCCTTAATTCAATTTAGCAGAATTTTTGTCTTTTCAGGTTTGTAGACCATTTATATATTACATCTATTTTCATAGAAACATGATTTTTTACTTCCTCTTTGACTAAGCAAATGCTCCTGTTAGATGAAAGATGACATTAAAAGGATTTTAAAATAAGTATTGATTATTCTAATTTATTGCATTTCTTGTCTAGAGTAATTATAAGCATGTAATTAGGTATAATCTGGATTTTGTGCCTGTTATATAAATGATGCAAAAAGCAAAAGAATTAACAAGTAACCTCAAAAAAGCATGTTGTACTTTTCATCAGGATGAGGTATGAGGAAAATTGAATGAGTGAAAAGACAATGTCAAACAAAATTTATTCCTTTATTAATGAATGTTGAATTTAAAAATTAACATTCAGATCATGTCATAGGTAACAGTAAATACAGAGAGAAATGGACACAGTCTGTCAGCAGGATTGAATTTAAGAACCATCAAAACTAGACAGATCTTGCTGAGCAGCTTCTGATTTAATAATTAAACAAGGTAGAGTTCAAGGCAGGGCTTAAGATGAAAGACTAGACTGTCACTGGAAATTAGTTTTCTTTTTTTCTCTCTCCTTTCTCTCTCCTGATTTTTTTATTTTTTTCTGTTGATATTTCAGAGTTTCCTTGTTCAGAGTTTCATGTTGTCAGGAATGCCAGTGCTGTTAGCAAGTGGAATTGGCTGAACAATTTCATCAATGCCATAGAGCTGATAAGGAGGGGTTTGTGCCCAGAACAAGGATGAGCTTCCTTGAGGGTCATGGGGCCAGCCAGGAATTATATTCAGTGATATATTAAAAATTACTCCGTTTTAAAAAAATGACAAAACCCCAGAAAACCACAAAACAAATCAAAACCCCAAGCCCCCAAAGCAAACAACCCTCTGCCCCCAGCAAACCAAACCCATGGTGAGCAGCTTGGCACTGATGGAGAATTTTGCTGTGCTGTGGCTGTGCAATCTCTGCAGGCATTGCCAGAGCTCAGGTGAACGTTCAGGTGATGCTCTGTCTGTGTGGGGTTCTTGCACTGGCTCAGGTTTGTGTCACCTCCAGTGACAGTCAGGGCTGCACAGGGCACTTTTATTGTACTTTGAGAGTGGGTGAAATGTCTGTTCCACTTCCCTCATCTTCAAGCCTTTGTTAATTAAAAAATAACTTTGAAACCTACTCTGGGTCTTATTTTCTGACCCCAGCCTCCAGAGGAATTCTTGCCTCATTTCTCTGCCTATTACCATAAATTTAGGGAAGAATGGGAAGTCCTAGAGTACCTGCCTGTCCCAACTCTGCTCATTTTAAAATTTGTCTGTATTAGGAGATGAAGTTCCAGGGAAAAGATACAACTCTTGAAAGGTGCTTGTAATTTACTGAAAGTTACTGCAGAGAGATTACTGGGAAATCTAAAAATGCTTTATGTATATTATCATCCATTGCAGTTTTCCATTGAAATACTGTCTTCTGTCCCATTTCAAAGGACTTGTAATTTAGAAATCAGTTGCACATGCTGTTCTCCATAAGGGAGAAGAGATGTCACTTTGAGGGGGAATAAACACCCATATTTTTAAGATTTATTTATTTTTATACACACTATAGAATTTACTGTCATGACTGATGACAGCTTTGCCATTGTAACTCTTGTGTCTCTGCATCACCAGAGAACCTCCTTGCCCAAGGCTACTGAATAACAACTGGGGTATTCCCTCATTTATTCTGGGCTTTTCTCAGTAATTCTCTGTTCTTTTAGAATGAGACAGTGGAAAAGCTGGGGGCCCGTGTGCAGCAGTTGACTGTTGAGGCTGAAAATAGTAATTTACAGCGTCAGAAATTATCTCAGGAGAAGACTGAGGTGGAACAGCGTTACCAGGAGGTCTGCTCCCAACTTCAGGACCTGAAAGCAAGGTAATTCAGTAACAATTGCTGCTTTTAAGAATATGGAATTTCCAGAAGCAAACATTATGACTTTTGTTCCAGGAACACACTGAATGTCATTTGACGTTAGAAAACTCTCATGAAAATGTATTTATTGGTGTCAAACTCATTTAGAGTGACCCAAATGACCACCTTGAGGAGTGTCTTACCTTTCCTTTATTTATGAGCAGCTCATTCTGTGACAAAAGCACATGGAATTGATACTGAGCAGGTAAAATGCCAAAATATGAAAGCAATTTCCATATCCTGTTTGCTTGCTCCTTGTAGGTATGACTTACTTCAGAAAGACAAGGACCAGATTACTCAGGAGTACAAGGAGAAAGTTCAGCAGCTGCAAAGTAAATTTGAAGTTGACAGAGATTTTCTGAAGAAGGAACAAGCTCAGGTATGCTCAGGTGTAACAGGCAGGAAAATGGGGTTTATTTCCTAAGTGCTCTCCTCGCTATCAGTATGATGCTTATGAATAAATCCAAAGGATTGCTCAGTTCCCCAAGTTAGTCATGAGTGTAAGTTTAAATAAAATTGGGATTTAAGTTTTCATTCCCAAATTTGACTGAAAAATCATCTGAAGTTGGTTGGTTGTTCTGGTGTGTATTTCTATAGCTGATCCAGATTCAGATCCTGATTTTGTTTGTGCTCCTGTAAAAATTCTAAATACACTCTTAAAGACTTAATGTTTTCATAAAGCCTCTTCCATGGCACAAAATACTTTTTCCAGAAAAAAATAGTCCTGCAGGCTTCATAGTATTGAACATTGTGTTAAATATTTATGTGTTTAAGGAAATATTTTTATATTTTGCAAGTGTAAATTTCACCCAAAATGTAATAACTCTGGTTTGTTCCTGGAAAAACATCTGTCACGTTGATGCCTGCTGATGTGCATAGGTGCAAAGATGGTACATATTTAAAGTGATTTTAAAGTTAAATAATTGTAGAAAAGACTCAAATTTTAAATACCATTTATTAATCCATAGAGCCATAGGACAAGTCAGGTGTTTGGTGTTTAGTTGTTGAAATTCTCTGAGCTTTGATGATACCTTACTGTGTTTCTTTTACAAGGTATTCTAATTTCTACCAATTTTTTGTAGACCTTACTGTGTTTCTTTTACAAGGTATTCTAATTTCTACCAATTTTTTGTAGATTTTAGTAGGGATTTTTTATTAATGGGGTGGTTTTTTTGTGCTTTTGTTTCCATTTCTAATCTCTCCAGAGGGTCTGAACTGACATATCCAGAGCCATAAACTCATACAGGTCTGAACTGACATATCCAGAGCCATAAACTCATACAGGTTTTTTCTCCCAAGCTGATAATTTTTCCATTTTTTTGGATACTGCAGTGCTTTAGATTCACTAATTTGAGAGATTAAATAAAAGAGATTTATTTCTCTTAGATTAGAAGAATAAATTTAAAAATGCAAAAGAGCTAATGAGGAGTGCAAGATAAAAATTGCTTTTTCTGTTAAATCCCAGCAGACATCTGATGTGATTGCAGAATTACAGCGTGGAATGGCTCTGTTGAAACAACAATTGCAAGACTGTGAACATCAAAGGCAGCAAGAGCTGAGGGTGAGCCCTGACTTTCTTTCTCAGAAATGACCAACTCTTTTTGTTTTATCCACTGATTTAAATGTTTAGATATCCATCCTTAAATGTACTTCTATATACCATGCTTGCTTGTTTCTGTTTTATTAATGGAAATAAATGAAATGTCACATGTGGTTAAAGGTTGATTTAAAAAGTGTGGCTAAAAGAGAGGTAAGAGCAGAATTTTCACAGAAGTTTTCTGACTGTTTCTTGTAGATCACATGTTAAGTTAAAGAGTTTAAATCTGTATTGGTGGATAACAAAGAAGCCTGTCAAAGAATGATGAATATCTTTTATTTTCTTGTAAACTGTAAACATTTTTAAAGTTTCAAAATTGTTTTTAATTTGCACTGTTTAATAGTTCAGTTCAATATTCTGTCTTCCTGTAGGCATTTAAATTAATCCTTCTATCTCAGGGTAATGAGTTCCACATCTGTATCATGTATCAGTCCTGGCTGAGTTTTGGCATCTACTTTTCTTCCAATGTCTTTCATTTCACAGTTGATATAGTACAGAATGGCATTTTAATAGCTCAGGAGAACAAGTTGCTGTTTCTCTTTAGCAAACATGAATCATGACTTTTGAGATAGTTGTGTTACTTGGTGTTGGTTAAATTTTTTTCCATGTCAGAGAATTTTTTCATGATGATATAAAGTGGGTTTTTATTTTTTTTTTTATGGACTATTCTATATGATAGCTACTGGCTGTGTTTGATGAATGCTCTGAAATGGAAGAAAAATGGGATTTGTTTATTTACACATTTGTTTGTTTATTTTCCTCTGCAGGATCAAGAATACAAGGTTCAGCAGGACAAGCTTCAATTGCAGCGTGCATATGAGAAACAGGTAATATTTCCAGGAAAATTTCCCATCTTCTGCACCCCTCCAATTTTGTTCTGTAGAGGACTTAAAGGCTTAAATTTTGAAACCCCCCAAATAGTAAATTTGGGAATACAAGCACTTCACAAGGTTTGGAAAAATAATTGGACAAAATGAAGGAAGATTCTAAGCACAGCTGTTTTGGGCCAGGGGTATCACATCTGATTTTTAGGATATCACCTGTGATTTTTAGGATATCACCTCTGTTGCCAAGGGATGGAGGCTGGGATGGCATTCCCAAAAAATACCCCTGGAAGCCTGTCCTGTGGTGGCAGCTGCTGTTACTGAAAGGATAATGAACTGAATGAAACCTGGCCTGACCTCTGCCAGTGCTCATGTGTTCTCCCATACTCCTTTTCCCCCAGAATATCTCTATTCCATCCCTCTCCATGTGTTCTCTAGATATTGTCAACAGGCATTGTTTTTACATCAGGAACTTAAAGTAAAAAATGTAATTTTCATCAGAAACACTTCATCTTAAAGCACTTTGCAAATCCTGCCTGCTCTTTTAGACTCGGAACATCAATAGGCTTCAAATTAAACTTCAATTTTAGTGACATTATATGTGCAACTCATGTGCAGCCAGAGGGTGCCTTAGATGCCTGTTTAATTGAAAGGATGTGTTACTCAAACATGTCATTGCCAAATGTGGCAAATTTATAACATAAAATAATGGATTGTGATCCCAGCTACTTGTCACTTGGTAATAACACTTGTGACATGAATTGTAGAGGGGTTTTGGTTTGAGTTAGTTCCTTCTGCTGACTTGAAGTCAAAACATTCTTTGTTCCAGGATCTGCCTTGGTTTAAACCTAGCCTCCATTTGTCTTTTTAGTCAAGCTGTGTGTTTTATACATGTTGAACTCAAGAAAAATCCAGGATTGGAGTGATTTGCAGGCCAAAATAAAAAATATATTGGCATAATTTGGCTGAGGTTTGAGGATCTTTTGGGAGGAAGCTCCTTAGCATGGGCTGAGAGCGTGTCAGCAGTGCCTCCAACCAGTGAGCCCAGGGAGGGAAGCTGGAATCCTGCATCAGTAAACAAGGAAGCAGAACCTTTCTTTTTTTTTTGATAGCTTGACAGCAGTTTGTTCATAAATTCTGGTGTAACTGTTTTCAAACTCAAATCTTTGTGAAAGGATGAGAAGAAAAAATACTCTTGAATGGTCTATGGATATAAATCCATAAACCAGGATGGATTGGCCCATAAAATACTAAAACAAGTAAAGGAATCGTGAAGTCTCTGTTGCAGTCTGTTCACTTAAAAACCTACCCATTATCTAATAATCTTTATGAGTCTGCAGTGGCTGCTGCCTCTGAGGATACTTTAACATCAAACAAATCATAGGTAGGAACCTTAAATGTCACAGTTTGATTAAATGTGCTTATCTGCTGGATCAGGAACCAGTTAGGCTAAATGGCTTTACAAGCCAAGGAAACACCTGCTTTTTATAAATAATCTACTGCTTGTTTTCCAAACATCCAGCTCAGCATCAGAAGAGTGACAGATTATTCCTGACAGCCATTCTCAAGCCACCTGTTGAAAATACAGAATTTTACCAGTTTTGGCAATAGCTTCTTTATTCTCTGATAGATGTAGCTCATGGATTTGGGGGCTCTTGGAACCCAGCTAAATGTTCCTGGAGTGAACACCCCCATGGAACTGCTCCTTGCAGAGAATCTCTGAATTGTTTTTTTTTTCACTGGCCTACACACTTAGTAAATCAACTTTTTCTTTATTGTAGTGTTTTAACAGCCTGGAAGATTACAAGTGACTGTAGGTGGATTTCCTGTATGTTCCATCCCCACGTTTTTCCTTGAGCAATTCTAAAGCAATACAACTCTTGGATTATGTACAAACACTTGGACTTAACCTGCCCTTGCCAAAAAACATCACAAAAATGCATGGTTTGGACCACACCTGGGAAGTTGCCAAATTCAAATCTTTTTGTAACTATTTTTAGGGTAATTATTGCTAATTATTCTATTATTGTTATTCTTTAGGATTTTTATGTGAGCTATTTATGTTTGATACTTTTTATTGTTAAGAATTGATCACTTATGAATGAAGTAATTCACTTTGGGTGGTCACAAATTGGTGAGTAGGAACTCTGCACCATGGAGAATACAGGTCACTATTTTAGGCAGATTCCTATCTGCTTCTCTGTACTTACCCAAAGAAAATCTAGTTCCTTTTTTATGTGATTACTGATATTTCTTTATTCTTGACAGTAATATTCACTTTGAGAAGGAAAATAGCTCATTGGCTACATTCTCATACTTCATCTCTCTATTAATCCCTGCTTTTGTATTTCTCCTAATTTTAGAAATCCATGGATGGTTGTCTTCACCAGTGGAAAAAGAATATGCAAATAAACAGGTTTTACAATTTAAAATAACATTGATTTATTTTAACTCAGACACCATTTGGGCTAAAAGATAGGGTGTTTTTTTTCCTTAAATGGCAGATTCATGGCATTCAGAATGATCTGGATAAAGAAAGAGGGGATGCTCAAAAGAAAATTCGTCACCTGGAACAGGCTCTGAAGTAAGTGAATATGGAATAATTATTGAACTAGCCCTGGAATTTTTAAATATTTATTAGTATTTATTTATTAAATAAACTTATGCTTTATCTTATCTAACTGCCCTCCTATAGTTTTTTTCCTGTTTTAAAGCTGCACCTTCAGGGTTCTGATCAGCCAGAAAAATGAAACAACTAAAGTAGGAACAAACTTCTCCAAATTTGTTGACTTTTTAGTGGTGGGAAGGAAATAGAATTGAGGTTAATGATGTCAGCTGGTCTTGCCCTCTCAAATAAATGGGCCCAGGTTCAATTCAGAGTTTATTCATAGGAAGCAAATAATCAAACAAAAAGCAAAAAATAATTGTTGCTTTGGGCTCTTCTAGAAAACAGAATACATTTGAAAGATGCATTTATTTAAAATATATTTTAATGTAATAGATGATGCTTCTGATCTTATATTTTATGTTTAATATCCACAAATTACAAGTCTAATGCAGATTTTTCCTCTTTGATACAACATTTCTTTCTGGGAGTACTTGTTCTTCACATGGATGTAAGGCTGGGAGAAGTGCTCTGCAACAAACAGCTTTCATTAACTAACTTGGAACAGGTTTTTTTGCTGTCTTTGTCCATGAACAGCTCATCAGGATGCACCAAGTTTGATGTTTTCTGAGCAAGGGAGTGGTTTATGTACAGCAGATGCACAGAGGACAAGATCAGCTCTTGCTCTGCTCCTTCCATTTTTGATTTTGTGAAGTATTCTTTCCATGTGTTAATCCAGTTTAAAGTCAAAGCTATGGAAAGTAATTTCTAGGGGAAACAGATTATTCTGAAACAAACCAGAAGTTATTTGCTACAAGTATTCAGTTTAATATCACAATGTACCTTATCTAGGCTGGGAGAGGGAAGTAAAGATACTTTTATTCCATAAAAGTGACAGGGCTGAAGTCTGTATTTCTTTATTTCTATAATCTCTGAGGTATTTGGCGTAAATAGAGACTATCTTAAATCACTGCAGACATTAATAAAAGCTCCAGCTTTTAATCTTTAAATTCTTTACACTGACTATTATTTATAATTTTGGGGTGGTTGAACTGTTATCAACTGCACTTTATCTTTTAGTATTTTACCATCAGATTTGTTGATAGTGAAGTTGCATTAATTTTCTTCCACATCTTTCAAATAATGTGTCAGTTTGGTCTTACTGATGTTAATAAAACCAGTCTGGCTTTGCAGCCCTGGCTGCTCAGGGTTGATCCCCACGTGGATCCAGGCAGGATGGGGATTTGGGACTCAAGGAGCTCTTGCAGGAGCTGAGGATGACCTCAGATATTTCAGATATTCCTTGGCTGTTTTTAAGCTTAGGTGTAGCTTGGAGTTGGAGTAAGGATTTGAAAGACTCAAGTTCTAAGAGCCCAAAGTGCTGGTGATGCTCCAAGGGCCATGAATTCAAACAATGTTGGCAGAGCTCAGTCCCAGCCTTGCCTTTCCTGTGGGTGAATCCCTTGGCCAGAGCTGGGGATGGGTCAGCTCCTGGGGCTGAAAAGCCCTGGGGATTGTTCCACAGGCTGAAAATCATCTGCTGTTTCCCCCACAGCAAGTGATTAATACCTATTCCTATATGATTTTCAAAGTGTCTCCTAATACAAACTGCTTCTACTCCTGTAGGTCCCCTCTAAATGAGAATATTCTTTGATATTGTATTTTTTGCCAGGGTATTTTTCCATGTCCTATGGCACTTTGTTTCTCTTATGCTTTTTCTTTTAATTTAATTTAATTTTCTTAATTTAGGGTGTTGAAAATAATGTAGAGAATTTTAATATTAAATCATATATACCTCTCCCAGTTGAAATGGAAAATGTTTAATTGTGGAGATAGTTTAATAAAACTCCATACTACTGCTCCTTTGATTGTTTTGTAGCAGGGGTTTGGGGTTAATTTCAAGATTAATAATGGAATTAGTAATGCTAAGAAGTAATTGAATAGAAATAAAAATTATCTTTCAAGTGTGGTTTTAAAAACCAGTTTTTATAAATTTCTGACTGGAGACAGAAGTCAGCAGATCCATGAGGATGGATTTAGGATCCTGAAAAGATGTTATTTGCAGAAATGCAGTGCCCTAGTCCAGCCCAGCTCATATTTTGCTGGTTGGGATTTCAGCTCTGGGTCTGACATCTGCATTTCTGACCAGGGCTGGAACAGACTTCAGGTGCCCAGGACAGAGGAACTGCCAGTCCTGCAGGGCTTTCTGCAATTCAAGCCATTCACTTAGCACCAGGGTGTCTTGACAATACTGAGATTTTTTTCATATATGTGCTTTTATATGATATACAAGTAGGCAATATGAAAGAACAACATTTCTTGTGGCAGAAATGGATGGCTTCCTTATGGCTTTTTCTTTTCCATTGCTGCAAAAATTATTCTTTTTAGCAATCCCTTCCTATTAATATGAATCCACAAGATCCCATATCTTACCTAAAAATGTTTCATTTTGCTGAATTTCTTTAACTACTTGCAGAATGAAATTAAGTAACTCCAAGCTAAGGCAGACCCAGTAAATCTTTAGAAAACAACCTCGTCTTGCATGAGGTGGGTGAAAATACAGTTCAGCATCTTCAACAGAAGCGATGCCTTGTGGAATTACAGCTCAGAACCCAGTAAGGTGCATCAGTGATTTCTCATAAACTACTTTGATCTGAATGCACTTTGATTCTGAAATGGCCACAGGATTATATCTTGAGCAGCTGCTGAGCTGCAGGCACATGGAAAGGGAAATGGCAGGCATTTTGGGGGATTTTTGTTATTATTATCACTATTTTTCCAGTGCTCTGACAGCAAACAGTGCTGCTGCTGTTTCAAACGTATCCACACCAATGCAGAATGAAAAGGATTCGAGACATTGTGTGGAATAGTAAAATCCACATTTCTGAAAGTATCTTTCACTTCAAAAAAAAAAAAATATAGTATTGCCACAGTTTCAGTACAGAATAGGGGTTTACATAGTTTACAGAAGGTTTTTTTCTTCTGAAGTTCGTGGTAGAAATATCTGTCAAAAGCAAAGCTTTTGCAAAAGAATTGCTCCAACACTCCTAACTCATGGTGGTGACTTGTAGATATAAAATTTATATTTACTTTTGCAGTGCATGTCACAGGCATTGCCTAATAGCAAAAGTTACTCTAAGAAGTGCTGTAAGGGCTTTTCTAGAATGTCCTTTAAATGGCATTTCTATAAGAACAAAGTTTTCTTGAAAAGCTTCTCTGTAATTACTTGGGGGGAAAGGTTGTTTCTCTAATCCCTGTGGTTTGGTTGCTGAAAATGTGTCATGAGAGTGGGTTGCAAATAGGCTGAATCTCTGCTGTTCTTATCTCTCACAGTGAGGAGTAGGAAATAGAGGTATATAATTTGTCACAGTACAAACTGAGTAGAATGAAACAGAAAATAAATGAGGGGGAAAAAAAACAATCTGTACCCATTTGCTGCTGAAGAAATTGCATGGAAGAGAAAGAAAAGGTCTCGCTGACTTTATACAATATTGTTAAACAGCTCTCAGCATCATCTCTTGTGTCTTGTTCTGTGGAATTTGGATGTTTATTCATTCAATATATTTATTCTACCTCTGCTTCTATTTTGGTAGCAGATTGTTCAATACTTTTAGTTTACTATGAGGAATATATATTTGCTGTAGGGAAATAATCCTCATTTTATTGAAGATTACAACCACAATGCCAGCTCAGTTTTGAGATGTTTGGTTTTGACACTTGCTTGTGATGAAAGAATCCCAGAATGGTTTGGGTTGCAGGGACCTTAAAACCCATCCCATTCCATCCCAGGGACACCTTCCACTGTTCCAGGCTGCTCCAAGCCCTGTCCAGCCTGGCCTTGGGCACTTCCAGGGATGGGGATGACACCTCTGTGGCTGCACAGACACATAAAGTTGGTCCATCTTGAGACTGAGAGATTTTGGACTGAATTATGAACATCCTGAATAGTTTGAGGCTGTGATCATCTGTCACCCTCTTGGGAAGTGCAGACTACATCGATTTCTTCAGGATAAAGGTTGTGACAGTTCTCATGTACTGGTGGTAATTATGGGATCTGATTTAATGCTTTTTGCTTTGCTTGCCTCTTACACAAATAGCATTTTCCTATGCTCCTGAGGTACAGATTTCCTGAGTTCTTGTTCTTCAGTTCTGTAGTGTGGGAAGCAAACAAATTTTAAGAAGTCACATTAGGAGAAATGAAATGAAATTATATTAAATGACATTAAATTAAACTCCTGTACAGGTGCAGATGCTGTAGTTAAACACTGCAGCATCAAGAAGTGCCCACACATCTGCACTCCAGTGCTCCACAACCTTCTCCCTCTCACTCTTTGCCTTTCTTTTTTTCAAGTCTGTCTGTGGAGCCAAATCTCAGCACTTTGCAAGTGGAGATGATACAGAGCAAATGTTGAGCAGCTGCTTCATTCTGACTCACTTAATAAAATTATTTGTTTACATAAGGAACTACCAACACCTCCTTTTTTAACATGGCTTCTCTACCCCTTGTCTGAACTTGTTTAAAATTCTGGGGAAGAAAGAGGGGCTAAACTTCTAAACTTTCTAGAAACCAGTTAAAACCACTTCTGTCTATTAGCAGATTTTCACAATAGTTTTCACAGTAGTTTTTAAGGCACAAACAGTTCTCACAGTATTTTGGGGTTTGGTTTTGGTGGCAGACCAAATCCAGTCATGATGTGATGTGAAGGTGGTGCCTGCAGACGTTCAGTAAAATGCAGGAAAGAAAACAGTTTGCCTTTTTTTTCTCATATATACTTGTGTACCTGCACGTGGTTTCTGACATGGGAGTCAAGGAGAAGAAGTTGATTTCTCCTTGGAAGTGGTGCCATGGAGTTTCCTCACTGCAGACTTAAAAAAGCTTTTCCCAGTGCTTTTCATTATTCCAGTGTGAGAGCAATGCTCTGTGCTTCCCCATGCTGGGCTGCTATTTCTAGGGATTTTGTCAGGTGGTCAGTGGTACT